ACCCATTAATCAAAACCGAACCGAACTATTGCATGTCAGTTCGGTGCGGTTCGGTTCGGTATGTTCGGTTGTAATCAAGATTCATTCAAATGTTATAGATAAATTTATTCATGTCTATTATACAACTTTTTTATTTTATTTAATTAATTAATTTATTTATTTATTTGCTTTATTCACAACTTATATACATACTAACATCTAAGGATTTTGAAAAAGAAATAACATCTAAGGATTTTGAAAAAGAAATAACATCAAGATAAGGCGATAATCATAGAGCGTGAGAATTTTTGTCCATTGTGCAATCCCTGTACTGAGCCTTTTGTTCTCAATTTGTGAGGGGTACTTGCATTGTGAGACTTCCCTTAATTCCACCATAATAATCCTAAAATTGTTCATAACTGAGAATAAATCAATGGACTTTTTTAGTTGTTAGTGATAAAAGTATTCCTCAATAATAAACAATTATGAATTAAAATTAATTTCAATACAGCTTACTAACATGCAACGAGAACTAAATCAATCTTAATTCAAAAATAAAATAAAAATTAGGGTTTCAGTTGATAGCTCTATTGTGGGTGCCTCCAAAGTACGAGATGGGTCTTGAGAAGATGGTTTAGTGACGATGAAGAAAGAAATAGAGGAAGAGAGTCGTTAGGGTTTCTGTAAAACCTCGTAAATTTAAAATATTGTGATATATGATAATAAATATGTTATATGGTTATAAATAACATATTTTGATGTTTGAATATGTTAGGAATTAATTTGAGATCAATTATTATTAAAGTATTATATGATATAAATTATATGATATTATAATAACTAACTATTATTTATATTAATATATACGTATAAATCATTATTAGTTATATATATATTGTTATATAATATTTATGTATCTTGAAAGCAGTATATTTTCACTACATAAACATACAGTAATACATAAGTATGATACATTCATACTGACAACTAAATATAAGTTATATATTTATGTAGTAGATATTTAGGTAATTACGTATGGTACATTTTGTATATAGATTAAGATTTTATTATATATATGTACATTACATACAGTACATTACATAATATCAATATCATATACAATTACAACATACATACATAATAGTAAATATATTGGACGTAGTATTTTATATTTGAACTATATTTAAACTTATTAGTACTATAATTATATAGTAAGATATTAATAATAATAAGTATGATAATTAGGATAATTATTAAAAAATTTAATATATAATAGATTTATTAGTATATATATGTGTGTATTTATATTTAGTTAATAATGTATCTACAATGTATAATAAGAATGATTAGTTAATAGTATATAATTAGTATTAGATAAGTATATAATAGAGCTCCGTTTTATTATTTAATAATACGTTTTTAAATTATTACGTATATAGCGGATTATGATATAAATGAGACATGATCATAGCTATACTATTAAAGATTATATAGATAAATTTAATATATGATTAATATATATATTTATATATATTAAATAATAATACTTGTAAAATTAGTACTTATATCAAGTTATATATAATACGTTAGTGATTTAAGCTTCATGGGGGAATAAGGGGTACTATCTGGGCCAAAGATTCCTTGGTAGTGATGTGGACACATTCTATGGTCCATAACATCACTAACCTTTGAAGTTTTGAGTGCTTCCATCTTCATACGAGTGTGCATGTATGGACAAAGATGTGTTCCACATCACTACCAACAGGATTCCTTGGTACCAACGTAATACCCATGTCTCTCTCTCTCATTCTCTCTCATCTCGTCTCTCCTCCTATATAAGGCTATTAATATGATGATTATGATTTAGTTACTACTAATATTATAACTGAAGGTATGATGACTGTATATATACTGTATATTATACATATATATATATTATGTAAACCATATGCTAAATACACTAGGATATTATATAATCAGTATTATTATAGTTAATAATCGAAGTAATTGATATAATGTGAGAGAACAGAGTCTCCAGGTATGAAGAGGCTTAGCATGATCGGCATAGCCTCGCTCTTCGAAGGTCCAGACACCACTTGGGTGTCTCGTCGTCGTTCGTTTGTCATGGTGCTTTCGGACCGGCTAGGCCCTCGCCTCCTCAGTTGCACACCACCGCCCTTTGAAGTCCAACACTTATATTCAACGATTGTCTGTCTCACTTACGCTCAAGCTTCTTGTCGCACTTGCACCGCCCTTTAAGTGAGTTCAACACTCGTCTGGAATTCCTTGTCTCGCTCTGGGACTCATGTCGATCTCAACCGATCCATCTCTCCAATATTCGATCGGGATGATCATCGGACTTCAAGCGACTTCCTACCGCCTTCTCGAGTCGAAACACATGTGTTGTAAACTCCGTCATAGTCGGTTATCGAGAGTCGTGGCTTGACAACGGAGCTGTGATTATTGTCTGGCATGGTCGGTTCGATGTGAACACAGAGTGTCTGTCGTCCGTGATCTGTTGATTCGAGTTTATGAACGTCGATGGTCGCACAGAGGGTGTCGTTTGGTCTAGTTGGTCGAGTCATCGAGTCGACACAGAGGGTGTCGTCACGTCCAGTCGGTCGAGATGTCGACCTATGTCGGACTCCGAGTCGAGTCGACACAGGGGGATTTTAGCTATTTGTACAAGTTTGAACGTGGATTTATTTCGTTCTTCGAGCCATCTTCCAGCGACGTGTAGGCTTTGTACACGTGTTTTGGGACTTGTAGTGAGATCTAGTACAAGTGGAATGTTGTGTATGGACACTTCTTAAAAGAGAATTTCTTGTTCCTTAAAATCTGAAAAGAATGTACTTTATGATTCAACGTTTTCGTCTTTTTACCTGCGGACGCGCTGGTGCTGTCTTGACAGCAGTTTGATGTTTTAATTTGGTTCCAATTTTATCAGAAACTCATCTTTTATAAGAGGGATCATTGTCAAAAAAATAAATAAATACAAGAAAGCACAACTCATCTTTTACAATAGTCTTTTCCCCTCTCAAACCCCATAATAGTTTCTAAGTGTTTCCGTGACGTTTGTTGAGAGGAAACAGAGGCTAGCGTTTGTAGTGAGGGGGATCTCGTACAACCGTTGTTTGGGAATTTCAACAACTCTGAGGCAAGATTACCCTCATCCAAACCTCTCCCTGCAATTAGTTGAAATTTTAAGAAGATTCTTCATGCTTAAGTTTAACTGTTATGTTAAAAATTAGTTTATGATGATAAATGTTAAATCCTATGCTAGAAATATAATTTTGTTCCCTTAACTATTGCTTTTAGTTTCATGATCATGATCTTTAGAAATTTGGAATTTATTTCATTTATTAATCATGTTAAAACATGTTAGAATCCTAGAGGAATAATAAATGGAAATTTTCATGTTAATCAACAATGTTTAATTTCTAGGCTTGTGATTACCTAGATAAATGTAACTTGTTTAAATAAAATTTTATCTCTAATATTTGGGTAGATC